GCAGAAGAGGCTACAATGGGATTTATTTCTAAGGAAATGTGTAAGATTGGACTGTAGTCCTACTTATTATCGTTGGAGAGTAAGCCCCATTGAACCAAGTGGAATGTACTTCTGATTAAACATACACAGGATTAGAGTAAATGGATGCTTCTCTCCTCTTGGTTCTGTCGATTTGGTTTATTATACAATGCCAGTAATAAAAGAAACACTTAAAACTTCTGTACTGGGTTCTTTGCCAAAAGAAGCACAGACATTTCTGCAACACTTTCAGCTTTATATCCTACTCACAGTTAAAAATGTATTGGCACCTTCCCCAAAGGAACAGGGGATACCCAGTCTCCTGGCCAATAAAAACATTCATGTTCTAAATAAAGTAGGGTCTAATGTTCAAGGGTAAACCTGACCTGTGGCTGTCCCCCTTCCAACATTGCAGCACTGCTGTACAGATTCTAGATCCTGGTTCTTGAACAGGTCCCAGTTGTGTCTGCAGTGTGGAAACAGTAGCAGAAAAGCAAAAGGGGAAGACTGCCGACTTACAACCATCAAACTTCAGGACAAAATCATTCCAGCTATGTGGTGTGGAGGTATCACAAGAGGATGTCAAGAGCAGTACACAAAGCCAGTGTGGTATGGTGGTTAAGAGTGGCAGCCTCTAATCTGGAGAACCGGGTTTGATCCCCCACCCCTCCTCCACATGAAGCCTGCTGGGTGACATGGGGCCAGTCACAGTTTTCTCAGAGCTCTCTCAGCCCCACCTACCTCACAAGGGGCCTGTTGTGGGGAAAGGAAGGGTAGCCACTTTGAGACTCAGGGTAGAGAAAAGCAAGATGAAAACCAGCACTACTACTTCAGACACCATGGGTTGGATCCCATGTAAAATTTCCACTTGGACTAGAGCTCTTACACAAGCAGAAATGCAAGAAATAGACTGCTGTAGCTGCTTGCACCAAATCCTACTTGCTATATCCCTATCTGCATTTTTACATGCTCAAGACTTTGTGCAACCAATTCCTGAGCACTGTAACATCTATGGAGGAAATTTATTGGTGTTGCACAAGATCTTGTGCAAGCAGAGTTGTGTTCAGCCTGTTCATGTTTCCACTTGCTTGCACATTGCTGGATCCAAGCCCATGCTTGTAAACGAACAGCCCAAAGGCACCTAATAGGTAGATGTCTCATTCTCAAATCGATGGGGGCCATCAAGAAATGGACCTCTCCACCAGCAATCGACATCTTCTATGTCAATACGTGTGGTTTCTTAAAGAATTCAATTTGGGTCAGTGTTCCCTCTGGCTCCCCTACTGCATTGCTCCAGTTGACTCATTGCCAGGAGCCTTCTTTACTAGGTGTATACCCTCCATCAATCACGTATCTCTCTGAAGATCACTGTAATTTGTTGGTTAATTTTTTACGGTTGGGTGTAAATTATATTTTGGCATGTGTTTATGGTATAATCTTGAGGACTGCTTGTAGCGTTGGAAAAACCAGTATAAATACAGTGTAAAATAAAATGATCCTTACCTTGGTCCAGCACCCTCCTAGTGGTAGATCCAGAGAGGGTAGAACTCAATTTGCTCTTTCCATTCATGTGGCTTTAGTTTACACCAGGAGTCCCCAACGTGCTGCCTGTGGGCACCATGGCACCCACCAGCACCTTTTCTGGTACCCGCCAAGTGTTCTTAGGAAGTGGATGGGGCCGTTTAGGGGTTGTTGCCCAGCAAGGCTTCTGACTGACTATTGGAGATTTGATTGACTGTGCAGATTTGTTAAAATGTTGCTTTGGCAGGAACTATCAGCATAGCACAAGGATCTACATAGTGTTTCTGAAGTTAAGCTGTGGCAGCCGTTTTGTGGCTGACTCCACCTCCTGTGGCAGCCATTTTGTGGCAGCCATCTTGTTGTTCACCCACCATGCTGTGTCAGAATTCCAAATGGGTCCGCAGGCTCAAAGAATTTGGGGACCCTAGGTAACATGGTAAAACTACTCTGGAACTGCATTTTTTGAGATTGCAAATAGAGAATTGTATGTTCTAAATGCCCTCCCTTATAAAATGCTCCCTACTCATAAGAACTATCTATAGGCAGATATGACAGTTGCTGAGTCCCACCTGTGAGGGGACATTATTTAAAACAGTCACATGGAGATTGAAGCCTCCGGCTGAATTAAAAATAATCTGATCACTCTAGATCTGATTAAACATTTTGATGCCACCTTTCCACCCAGTTTAAGGTCCAAAACACTAAAACAACTTAAATGTGTACATAGAAAACAATAAAAACAATTCAACAAAACACAAACAGGTAAACATAAACACAAAAACAAGAAGGAATGTCAGTGAGGGTCATGGAGGGATACCAAACAAAACAGAAATGTCTTCACCGACTGGCAGAAGACAGTGATAGACAAATGACTTTCCCTGGGGAGGGAATTCCATAATTTTAGGGCCATGGACTGAGAAGGTCCATTCTGAGCTCTGTCAGAAACTGCTCTTTCAAGGACAGCTCTGACAGAACTATGGCTTGCCCAAGGTCATCCAGCAGCTGCAAGTGGAGGAGTGGGGAATCAAACCTGGTTCTCACAGATTAGAGTACAGGAGGTTGAATTCCCAAGCTTCTTATCAAAAAAGGGGGATAACAGATTTTACGCAATTCCAAATCTCAGAGATTCGCGTGTTACAGGGTGCAGCCAGCTACAGTAGCTACTATTACATAGGCCAACCCATGACTTTACTAAACCTTATAATTTGTGCCCTCTAAAGGTATGATATGATGCTTCTCTGAGCATACAAGGATACTTTCTCAATGAATATTTGTGGCAAACCCTGTTCTGTTCATCCTGGGGTTGTTCTGGACATGAAGTCATCTATTCATTATACGTTAGTTTTTAACAATACATAATAGATCTGGTTTTTGCCAGTGTACAAGTTGTCTCTTTCAAGGCTAAAACTCTGAATTGCTGGAACAGTGAGGAAAAAAACAAATGCTTTCTGTGTTACACAGAAACTAAAACAGATCCTCAGGCCTACCTATGCTTAATATTCTAAAGAAGATATCCTACTGAAGTCCACAATATATGGGCTTATATATGGAGGACCATTAAACGATGCAACCCACACCTGTTACCTGGAGCAGTCCAGTCCAGGAATATTTATACCTTCCACTGATGCTGCAGAACAGGTTGCAGCCTGCTCAGCTCAAAATGGTTAGCATGGTAAATATTGGGGAGGGGCTGTGGATCAGTGGTCGAGCATCTGCTGAGCTTGCAGGTTCAATCCCCAGCATCTACAGTTAAAAGGGTCAGGGGATGTAAAAGACCTCTGCTGGAGCCCCCAGACAGCCACTGCCTGTCTCAATGGACAGTCCTGACCTTGATGGCCCAATGATGTGATTCAGCGTACAGCTTTTAATGCAGGGTTACGAGATGTCATCTTTTTAGAAGACATGTCCTCTTTTGGGCTTTTTTTTTAAAAAAAGGATGAAAATGTCCTCTTTTGGGGTTGGAAGGTTAGGAATACTTCTAGATAGCAGCTTAAATAGTAGGGGTATTTAAAATGAGATTTGTCATAGTGATCACTTGTCTGAAGTGGTCAGTTGGGAAATATGTCTCTTTTTTGCTTTTCAAAATATGGTAACCCTATTTTAATGTGGTACCTAAGAAAAACCCCTGGACACACCACTGTTGCAAGAGGCACCTTTCAAGACAGCAATCAGGAAATCATCCTTATCCAGAGAGATGGTAATTCAGAAACGGCAAGGTACAGTTGGCAACAGATTCCTTTTGCATGGCATTTCACTACTGAAACGGGTGGAAGTGCTTTCAGCAAGTGCAAGCGCAAGAGCCTGGTGGATCTTTCTGATCCTAAAGTCTATTTTTGTTTATTTATTAAAAGATTTATATCCTGCCTTTCCTTGTGGTTCAAGGCAGATGACAATAATGGTTTGAAAACTTTTTTTCAATCAGGAACCAAAAATAAAACAACAAATCCCAAATCCCCCCTCCAAGAAAGTACCTACAATTCAAATCCCTTAACAGCCCTGAACATAGGTGGGTCTTACAGTGCCTCCTGAAGATCTCCAAGGAAGACCCCCCCCCAACTCCTCAGGGAGCCCATTCCACAAAGCTGGCGCCGTGGTGGAAAAGAACCAGGCTCCGGTCAGTGCCCAGCGGCCACCCTAACTGGTGGGAGAGCCCACAGATGGCTGCCTGACAACCATAGTTGGCACACAGAGATGTATGGAAGGAAATGGTCCTTCAAATATGTATGTAGACAAGTTTGCAGGGGAATGCTTTTTGTCTATTATGTTCTGAAACATCTGATTCCAAGACAGGGCATTTCCTTATGTATTTGATGTTATTTGTATCAATTTCTAATAAAATAATAATTTAAAGAAGATTCTTATACCCCCTTAAGAACTGGTGAACTGATCGTGGCATAAGTTTTTGTGCATTAGAGACAGGCTTGCCAGGTCCTCCCTGACCACTGACAGGGGATGGGGGGGTAGGGTTGCCAGATCCAGGTCAGGAAACTCCTGGAGATTTGGGGATGGAGCCTGGGGAGGACAGGGACCTCAGTGGGGAACAATGCCATACAGTCCACCTTCCACCACACCAAGGCCCACGGAACACTGTTACCTTCCCACTGAAGTGGTACCTATTTATCTACTTGCAATTTCTTGCTTTCGAACTGCTAGGTTGGCAGGAGCTGGAACTAGAGACGGGAGCTCATTCCGCCATGCAGCACACTCAGGTCTTTTACTGCTGAACTACCGACCTTCCACAGCCTGCAGTTTAGCGTCTTAACCACTTGAGCCACCGCAGCTCCTTTGCCTTAACATAGTACCCTTCTGGAAATTGCCTATGAGGGCTGATTGTCACTACCCCTCTGGAACAGCAGGCATTAGCAAGATGAACAGGTTGCCCGCTGCCAGCCCAGCCTTAATTTGCATTAGTTACTGCCCCCCTCCCAGTGTCACTACCAAGATGTGACGGAGCTGTAAAGATGGTGCAGGGAGAGTATTTGGCAGTAGAAGTTGTCTGTGGACAAAGCTTGGGAGAACTTGTAAAAACGTCATCAGATTCACAGCTGCCTGCAGCTGGCCTCTTCCTTGCAAACAGCCTCCTCCTTTCTCCTGCAGCTGTTGCTGGAAGTGAGTCACATCAACAGCTGGGGAGTTATGGCAGAGCAACGGCAGAGAAAGGCTTCGCCCTGCCAGTGCATTTTGGCTGGAAACAGCAGCCGCGGCAGCAACACACACAAAAGCCCAGGGTCTTAAGTTTCATCAGCTACACTGCAGCCTTCTTAGAATGAGAAGAGTGTTTACAAAATTTGGTCCCTGTATTAAAAATTAGCGAGGCCTGTCACTCTTGCACTTCCAAAGGTTTGTTTTCTAGGGGATGAATTAGTTTGCATGCAGACAAGGCTTTCTGTGTGAGTCACTGTTCTAAAGCCTGGCCCAGGGGCATGATAGAATCCTCAGGAGGAAGGCTGTAGGGGTGGGAAAGATGTCCAGCTTGTTCTCCCCCCTCCCACAGTTTCTCAGGGGGGGGCCCAGCTTGTCTTCATTAAAATGCACATAGGCATCCCTCCTTGCATTAATATGGAAATACCTAGTCTGGAAGGATAAGACAGTCTGTTTGTGGTGGTGTACAGGGTGTCAAGTCTCAGCTGACTTAGTGCCCCCCCCCATAGGACTTTCAAGGCAACACCTCTATACAGCACCTCTGGACTTCCTTGGTGGTCTCCAGTCCAAGTACTACCCAGGGCTGACCCTGCTTAGCTACTGAGATCTGAGGAGATCAGGCTAACCTGGGCCATTCAGGTTACCCAGGCTGTGTTACTGTGCCTGGTTCCTCGTGATTGGAGCACTGTGCATGTATGGATGGGCCTGTTGATCAGCTCCAGCAGGCTGCACTGGGTTTCTCGGGGAGCAAGCCTAAGCAGGTCTACTCAGAAGGAAGACCCATTCTCCTAGGACTGCAACCTTAGTCACTCAGCACAGTGCAGAATTACACCTGGATTTCCGCACACGGGCGCAGTAAATCTGCTCTCTTCATCCTGCTGGGAAATAACTTGTTCCTCTCACATGGAGATTCTCCTGGCAACATGTGGAAGAACAGTACTGAATCACAGTGTTTCCAATACAATACTGTGGTGTGCGCGCGCATAATGATAGAATTTACAATGTGAAAAACATTCAGAAGTAGGAAATTAACACGTCAATCCAATGTGGAGTTACTCAAACTGAAATCAGTGGGTTTAGAATGGAGTAACTATGCATAGGATTGGACTGTAAAAAGAAGACCCTCCTACATTGTTTAACTTGTGCAATAAAAACCAGTTCCCAACCCACCCAGATAGGTCTTAAAGAGGATTTTTGAAAGAGGGTTCTCAGTTTTGGCACTTCTCCAGAGGTAGAGATAGTTACATCCATTTTTCTCTGTGTCTGAATTCTCACAACGTCAAGATGGCACAGTTGAGAGGATGCTCTCAGTTTATACAATGGGTTGGTTCCAGTGACTTCCTGTCACCACATTGGATCCAAGGACTCCCATCCACTGAGTTCTTCCAATAGATGAAACCTATTTGTTGGAGGAAGACTTAATGGACGGGTGTAATTGTTTCCAGCTGTAAGTGATCATGCAGGGAAGAGTGTGATCTTTAACATACAAGCTCACCCTGAGATGTGACAGATCAAATCCAGAACCTTGACATATCATCTGGAGATCTTGCACGCTTAGCCTGATCTGCCAGTAAACCCTCACTTCCTCCTTTGAACACTGTGTTGGCCCAACAGCAGCTGTGCCATTTGTACAAATTCTGCTGAATAATGTTGAACTGCAACAATTGGCTTGGCTGTTAGTACCCTGGACATGAACACTACAGGTGACTCCAGTTCTGATTCAAATGCTGATCACCTACTGGCTACTATGGGTGTTTTCATACATGCTGTTAGGCAGGCATATGTAAGTCTCTTGTGCTTTTCAAACCACACATGAAAGTAATCAGCGCAAGAACAGAATTTGGAAGCAATATCCACTGTACAGCTCAGCTGATGCAGACTCTGTGTTTGCAGTAGGAACTGATTTAAAATTAAGCCAAGTTTCTATCTGAAATGACCAGTCCAATTCACTGTGTCCAATCAGCTTACTCGCAGGTAAATATGCATGGGATCACAGCATTACTAATTTCTAAGAGTGGTGATATCAGAGAAGAACTTCAGGGTGAAAAGCCCCATCTCAGTGGTATCAGAACAATGTATGTTTACTTTATTCAACCCAGCTGAACTTAGAGGGACTTGCTTCTGCAGAAATGTCCATAGAATTGGGCTGTAAGACTTTGCTTGCGTGTGTGTATAAAACTGGGAAGAAAGGAAAACAAACAAACATCCGCAAGAGAATCTTACCTAAATTTGGCAGGATGCAAATCCTAAAAGCTGAAGAAATATCAGGAAAGGAGGTGGCTTTGCAAGAGCACAGGCATGCCAGACTGTGCCAAAAGTTTATTAGATTATGACTCAGCAGTCGCTGATCAGCTCCAGCTTCTTAACAGCTCCTACCAGCTCTGATTAACTCACGCCCAAAAGCTTCCTAGAGAAAGCAACATTACTCTTGCCTCTCACCTTATCGGCGACTGTCATCGCAGAGCTTTCTTGCTCCAGTCTCCCACTCGCTGGTGTCTACAGGCAATCCTTCTGTGACCGAACAGACTTCTTTAAGGGCAGCTTTGCTACGGCCAGGGAACAGCTGCTTGGCAGATACCAGAGCAAGGTACTTTAATGTACAAAAGAGCATGTACTGTTAAGTCGGTTACTTAACAAAGAGTCAGAGAGTAATTTCAGCAAAAGTTCAGCTTTATTCAGCAACTCGTAACTCAACTCCAAACAGATCAACATGAATAGCCAGAACAGCTTTAGCATTGAAGCTGTTCTTCTTTTAAACTCTCCCGGCTAATATAGCCACGCCCTATTTTACAATATCAACCTATGAGGTTGCATGGATAAGGTCCAATCACAATTGTTCCCTCTCATGGAACTGGATGTTGGCTCTTCCTGGGCTACCAATAGTCATTGAGGGATTTGGATCCTAGCCCAGGACGAAGCTTCACTTAGTGATTCAATCAGGGAGTTCACATACATACATTTGACAGATTGAATACACCATTATACAGATTGAATACAGATTGAAGTTCTGTGCTGAAACTCCATTGGAAAGCAAAAAACTTTTAACCCACTCTTTGGCTGCAGTATATATATATAAATATCTTTTTATTGGTTTTGTTAAAAGGTTTACATAATACAAAAATTTATTGATTCAAGGTTTCTACATATAGCAGTTAAGATAATTACTTACAGTTTAATGACATACAGCCACCATACAGCACTGGTGAGTTACTGTGAGTTTGATATTTTATCTGAAGTAATCTATAAATATAACCATTTATGATAAATCTGGTTAGCAGGGAGTATATAATTCGTTACCATATAGTCCAGCACTGGGGCCCATATCCTACCAAATTTGATGTAAGTTGGTGTATTACTATTATTCGCTCTATTCAAGGAGTCCGTAATTCTTGCCATTATAAACTGATCCCAGACCTTCTCTTGTCAAGCCGAAATTGTGGGTGGAGAAGGTGATTTCCATGTGGCTGCTATTGTCAACCTTGCTGCAGCAAGTAATGTTGAAACAAGTTCTTTGCTGCTCTCTGTCATCGTTTCATTCCACAAATTTAGCAGGGCCACCTCCGGATTGCATGGCGATGTCTGCCTAGTGATCCCATTTATCTGTGATATCACAGCCTTCCAAAAGTTTTGTATTTCTTGGCAGCTCCACCAGCAGTGAAGGTACGACCCTATCTGGCCGCACTGTTTCCAACAGGTAGTGCTTATTGATGGTTTAATTTTATGTAGCTGTTGCGGAGTAAGGTACCATCTAGATGTTATTTTTAAGAATTGAAGACGAATGTTATATATTGAGGATTTGTTCGCCGGAGAAGCCCAAATGTCTGCCCAGTCTGATTCTTGAAAAGTAAGATTAAGTTCTTCTTCCCATCTATATTGATAGGCTAGTTTGTTTGTGTTATCTTCTTTTATTAAAATTTTATACATCTTAGAAAGCACCCATTTTGGTGCTCTTGGGAAGGCCAGAATTACTTTTTCCAAGTCTGTTATTTCCCTTTCAAATAGCCCTGATTCAGCCAGCTGCTCAATTAAATTTCTTAACTGTAGGTATTAATACCAGGGGGCCTGTTCACCCAATTTCTGGTTAAAAAATATTTTCTTCTGCATTTTGTCTTTTAGCACCAGGTCATAGATCCGCCCCAAATCCGCCATCCTCCATTTTTCGAAAGCGTTAGGTATCATGCCCTGAGGAAACCAGTCTTGTTTTGTGTAAGTAGATAGTACTGAGATACCTGGAGAGATAAGTCTTTTCCTTTGGTCCCAGATCTTAAGCGATGTCACTAGGAAAAAATTATGTTCAATTGTTTTCGGTCTGCGAGTCGGTGGTATCCAAAATATTTCTTGTAGATTGTATGGTTTGACATATTTATTTTCTATCTGCATCCAAGGATTGTTATGGTCTATATGTAACATTTGAGTTATATGAGACAAATAGATGCCTGGTAGTAAGAGGATATGTGTGGAAAGTCCAATCCCCCAAGGCTTGAAGGTCTGTGTAGCACGTTCCGGTTCAGTCTTGATTTCTTGCAAGGGATTAGACTGGGGTCCTTTTGTAGGTAAAGCAGATTTATTTAAAATATTTTATGCTGCTTTTCTCCTGCAAAGCAGGCTTCAAAACAGCTTACAAATATAAAAACAAGCAACAATCTAATATCACAGACAAGAACAGCCCTTCTACCAGTGCAAGCATATCTTCCAGCCAGATATTTCAAATCAGGAAAATTCTACTATTCATGGCCTGTCCATAGGTGGCCTAGAGAACTTGGCCTTCCACAATTCCCTAAGCAACTGAAGGGCAGAGTTTTGTGTGTTGACACAGGCAGGCAGGCAGGCAGGCACAGTACCGTGCAGTAGCTTCTTTTCAGTCTTGAGCAACTGGGCAGGAGTCAGCCACTGGAAACGTGTGGCACTTGGTGGGATTTTGACCCTGACACATTGAGCCATGACTTCCTTGTGCCCTTAGGAAGCCA